AGACAGACAGACAGACAGACAGACAGAGACAGAGAGAGACACAGGCAGACAGACAGAGACAGAGAGAGATGGGGGGGCCCTGCTGTCCCCCAGAGAAGAGTCACTGAGCCAGCCTGTGATCAGCTGAGCTGCTTGTTGGGGTGGGGTCAGGGTGGCTAGTTACAGGGCCAGCAGCTATGAGTCCCCATCCAGCTCTGGGCTGGGTGCATCCTCTGGTTCCTCTTCGTCAAAGTACCTCTCCTCTTCATCCCGTGCCACAATGTCCAGGTTGTCGAAGTCGGGGTTGTCGTCCACTGTGCTGCAGGGGGAGGAGGCTGTTAGGGGCCCTGGGAGGCCCAGGTCAAGGGCTGGGAGATCCCCAAGGACAAAGGCCATCTGCTGGCACCTGCTAGTCACAGCTGACCCTCAGAGAGGATACTAGTCTTTTTAGGACTTAACAATAGAAGGAAACGTTTTCCAAGAAGAGATGTGACACAAAAATCCTGGTTTCTCTCTCTCTCTCCCTGTCTTTTTGAGACAGGGTGTAGTTATGCAGTTCATCCTGCCTCAGACTCACAATGATCCTCCTGCCTCAGCCTCTTGAGTGCTGGGATTATAGGCATGTGCCACCAGGTCTGACTCCTGATTTCTTTTAAAAGTTGGTGCTACAGGGTCCTACATTTCTGGCATAACCATTGGAGTTTTGTCCTTAAGGACATATTAACATTTTGATTGTCCCCACCCGTGAAGCAAACCTTTTCCCTCACAGGACAGACTCCACAACAGAGAACTACCTGGCCCAAAGGTGGGAGAAGGAGCCCAGGTAAAAAGCCTTGCTGGACCTGAGGCCTACTGCTCACCACTGCTCCAGGCAGTGTGCTGCACCCAGGCATTTAGGCCTTGTCCCCTCCTCTCCTGCAGGTCAGTGTTCAGATGTCACTTCCTCAGAGCCTTCCCTGACCACTGGGCACTCCCCACCCTCCGCCTTTGCTTTTTCACAGCCCCATAACCACTGGACACCCGCTAAATCTTTATCCTGCTCTTCAGCCTGGGTGTGAGTGTCCTCTGAGCAGCACAAGCCTTGCACTGGATTTGTTCCCTGCTGTGAACCCAGAGCCTGGACACAGCAGATGGTTAGCTCTTGTAGAGTCAAGGACTGGCTGAGGGACATGTCTGGGAGGCTGAGAGGACAAGGATGGGTCTGCACCTCGTTGTTTTGTTTTGCTTTGCTTTTATGAGACTGGCTCTCATTATGTAGCTCAGACTGGGCTTGAACTCAGCAGTTGTGCCTCAGCCTCCCTAGTGCTAGAGTTACAGGCATGCACCACCATGCTTGGCAAGGGTCTGTAGCACTCTTCCTCTCTGTGGCTGCTGCTTTGGAAGTGGCAGTGGTACCAGTCCACTGAAGCGTCCCACAGCCATATTGTGTGTGAGAACCCAGGGTTTAAGAGGTCCCTCTGGCAGGAGTGAATCTTCCACAATCAGTCCTATAGCTGTGGTGTCCCATCATGGGCCAGTGAGGCTCATCAGGGGGTGCTAACTCTAGGCTGGCCACTGGCAAGAGTAATCACACACCCATCTTACCAAGGCACCCACCAATGGCCTGCCTGTGGCCACACAGTTTATGTGTCACTAGGGCTAGATCTGAAACCAGGGAATGGCCTTCACTCCAGGCCCCATGTTTGGGACTGGAGACAAGACCAATTCAGATGCCAAAACTATTTATCTTTGACTGATACTGTATTGTCATGTTATCCTGATGGCAAAATCCTTTGCCAAAGCAGGTAGCACATGTACTCCTTGCCCCAGGTTCTTCTAGAAACAAGGGGGGGCATGGTGGTGCCAGGCACCTACTATAGGCTCCTCCACACTGGAGAGCAACCCCGTTAGATTAATCCCTGCAGCATGAAATGGTTTTGGGTCCTGGGAAAGAGGTTGGGTTTCCCGGTTACATATGAAGGTTTGGGGTAGCAGATTCCTATCAGGTCACCACTATTGGTACCACGGAAGTGGATTTTTTTTTTTTTTTCTTTTTTTGGCCCTCTCAGGATGCTTTAAGGGCAGATGTGGTAAAGTATGAGCATCTGGGGATCGAACCACAGAATTCTGAGCCTGACTACTTTGCTTTAGCAGGCACTTACAACTGACCTAATGGGCAGACCACTAGGTACCATGGCAGTGTTTCTGTGTTTTATCTAGACAACTAAATATCTGCTGAGCTCACATCCTTCCTTACAGGTGAGGGGATGGAGACTCAGATGACAAGGTTAGTCCAAGATCATCACTCAGCCTTCTCTGATTGGTCACAAACTCCAGACTGTCTAACCCTGGGCCCATCTCCTGGAATTTGCAGGGCCGTCTAGGCCCTCTCTGGACATGGATAGGAACTACACGGGACCTGCACATGGCCAAGGGCTGGGGGAAGGGGAGACAGAACACAGCGGCACCTGTAGTCAAAGTCCCCATCCTTGCCATCTAGGAAGCGCTGGTGCATCCGACTGGTGAATTCCTCCCGAAGGATCAGCTTCTCCTCTGAGTCAGGCACCCAGGCCTCTGAGTCTTTGCCTGACCTCTGGTCTGTGGAGAGAGACGCCAAGGAAGGGCAGTTTGAATGTGAATTCGGAGAGTTGCTTTTGTAGCTCAGTAGAAGGGCACTTGCCCACCACATGCAAGGCCCTGGGTTTGATCCCCAGTATAACAGCAAACAAATACGAGGAAACAAATGCCCAAATCATAGAGAACTGCTGCTCCCATGACACACTCCATGCCATGTGGCAGAGGGAACATAGCAGTGACTGCAGCAGCCCAGGTCCCTATCCTCCAGGGGTGCATATCAAACAGGTAACGACAAAATTCTGGAGATCCTATACCAGGGTTAGGACCGAGAAATGAAGGCTGAGGAAAGCGGCCTTCCTTTCTGTAGAAAGAATGAAGCCCATACCTGGCCTCAAAGGAGTGCAGGGTAGGGATGCGAGAGATGGGAGGAGCCCATAGGATGGAGGGTCAGGGCAGGTAGCTGGGGCCTGGCCTGGTGCCATGAAATGGAGTTGCAGATTCCAGATGTTGGGGCTTCCCTGCTGCCAGTTCTCACCTTCCTCGTCACTGTCATCTTCCTCTTCTTCCTCCTCCAAGCAGGCCTCTTCTTCCTCCTGCTGCTGGAGCAGCCTTTGCTGCAGCTCCCGCTCTTGGTAGGACTGGAGCAGCAGGTCGGAGAGCGGGCAGGTGGGTTTGCTGGGGGAGCCAGGTCTAGGTGGCTGAGGGGCCAGCGTGCGGGTGCTGAGCTCCTCCTCAGTGAGGTACTGCCCGATATACTGCTCATACAGCAGGGGGGCCCGGAACCGCATCTGTTCATCGCTGAAGTATTCACCCCCTGCAGAGGAGAGCTGGGTGGGCATGCCTGGGTGGACACGTCAGTGCATGTGTGCATGTATGTATATGTGTTCATGTGCATGCTATCAGATACTGAGGGAAATATGTGCAGGCGCCTGAGGTCACATGGGCATGGGTATCCGCACCTGTGCTGAGCATGTGCACATGACCAGGTCTGCATCTGCCTGTGTATTCACGTGCCCAAGTGTGTGTGTGCACGGGCAAGCCTTTGGCCTTGGTGTGTGTGCAGCAGCACATACAAACCTATGTTCTGTGTTTCAGCACACTGCCTGTCTGGAAGTTGGCATGTGGGACAAGAGACAGGCTCCACGTGTAAGTAGGCTGTGTGTGAGACAGGCCTGCATGTGTATCTGAGATATCTGTGCACACAGTAAGGTCAGGTGAGGCATCCGCTTGTGTGTGTGCCGAATGGAAGCAAGGCCATTGCGTGTGTGGACCTGTGCAGAGGAGAGGGCAGCTCAGCTCTGGCCTTTCCTCTGCTTTCTGCAGCCTCCCTTAGCTCGGGCTGGTGTCCCCATCCGGGTCCTTCTCTCCTGGCTGTCCATTCTTGCAGAAGCAGCTCAGTCCCCAAGGTAACAGTTAAACTTGCCCCTGGCTCCTCCCACTCAGGGGACCTCACCTGCCCTCAGAGCCCAGGTCCACAGTCCTCCCAGATGCCTGGCTTCAGCAGCACCGTGGTCTGTGAATCCCTGTCCTACTCTGCTTCCCTAGTCCTGCCCTCACCTTATCCAATCTCTGAATCTTCTACCAGATTTTGTTTCTATCCTGCCTCCTAGCTTGGTACCATGGAACCAAGTATGGGCACCATGGGACGGAATGCAATGCCAGCCGTCTCCTTGGGGCCCCTCAGTTTCTCTCCCTCTGCTCCTTTATCCCCATCTCTCTGCCTTCTCAGTCACTTGTTTTCCCTGCTTTCTCAGTTTTTGTGAGCTTATGCCACCATGTTCATTCACTAAGCACTGCCTTTCTTCATTCTTTCTCCTCTCTCCGAGTCTTGCCCTTTCTGTATCAATCGCCCTGCCACAAACTGACAACTCATTTTCTGCTTCATTCTCTCATCTTTTAACTTTGGTTTTGGTGGTTTTAGTCATTTTTTTTTTTTTTTTTTGGCCTTTTTGTGACAGGGTCTCAGTATACAGTTCATGCTGGCCTTTAGCTCACTTTGTAGCCCAGGCTCGTCTCAAACCTGCAACGATTCTGCCTCAGGCTCCCGAGTGCTGGGATTATAGGCATGTGTCACCATGCCCAACTCACGTGAGGTTTTTAATTATGTCCAGGTCAAAAAATATCTGTATTTTTCTTCATAGTCTTTTCATTTTGTTCAAAAAGGCCTCTGCATACTCAAGGCCATAAACATATTTCCCTTGGTTTCTATTGATACCTTTGTGCATATTGTGGATTAGGACCTTGTGTTACACTGAGACACTAAATTATCACAATGTTGTGTTCTATGTTTTCAGTCCACTTCTGAATGGGCCACTTCTGTCTGCTACTACATTCTGATCTCTTCTTTCTGTGTATACCTTGTCTTTTCCAGATCCTACCTGTATCCACAGCTCCTGCTGCCTTATTTCACATGTCTGTCTCTTTGTCTCAAAACTTGTCTCACAGCTGGGCATGGTGGTGCAGGCTGCAATCCTGGAATTCTGGGAGGCTTAGGCAGGGGTATTGTAAGTTTGATCTATCAATTTAGCAAGACCCTGTCTCTTCAATTCCAAGTAACAAACAAACAAAAAATGGGAAATCACTTTTCTCACAGGCTCTGTTTCTGCTTTGGATTCCTTGTTTCTCAGTCCCTGTGACTTTATCCTACCTATCCCCAGCTTCCCCTCGCTACCTCAGTCTCCCCTCCCTCTCCATCTCTGCCTCCTCAAACCCATGAGCCCTTCGCACCTTGGATGAGCTCACGCAGGGCAGCATAGCGTCGGTTCCGCAGGCGGGTGCGTAGGGCGCGCGGCCGGGCAGCACCCTGCCGAGCCACCTCAGCACAGTAGAAGTCGGCACGATGGTCACCACGCAAGTGGCCAAAGCAGGCCAGGTGCTCCTCGCGGAGGCCTGTGCGGAAGCGCTCCAGGAACACCAGTGGCTTCTCGTGGTACAGCTGGCTCAGGATGGCCACCTTCTCTTGCTCTGTCAGGTCAGGCTCACCTTGCTGCTGGCTGCACACAGATAGGCGGCTGGCGGCCACGGCATGCAGCATGGCACTGACTGCCGCGTTCTCAGGGTCATCACTGTCCAGAGCCCCTGGAGTGCTCCCCGCCGCTTTCACCTTTTCCTGGGGTTTAGATGGAGCTGGTGTCTGGCTCAGCTCCCCCCAGTGCCCAGTTCTGGGCTCCATGCAGCCTGAAAGAGGGGCGATTAATTAGCTGAGGGACGGGAGTGCAGGGAACAGAAGGAATTGGGTAGGAAGTGGCTGGGCACTCCCTCAGTTCACATTTAACGATCACCTACTATATTCTGGGTTCTGTTCTAGGTCCCAGTGAGACCATAGCAAAAGAATGACATTTTATTTTATTTATTTATTTGTTTATTTATTTATTTTTGGCGGAACTGGGGGTTGAACTCAGGTTCTTGCACTTGCCAGGCAAGTGCTTATTCTACTGAGCTATCTCCCCAGCCCCAAGAATGACATTTTAGTGGCCACTCAGCCAACTAACAGTTACTGAA